TACACAACGCGAAAAGAAAATGGACGCACGAACTCGCTTTTACGTCGTCGTAAATAATTTCTAAAATAAAGGGTATTTCCGCGCCTTCGACAATTTCGATACTTTTATTCAAGAAAGGCTCCGTTGTGGCAGAACTGGCTTATCCTCCTTTCTTCCGACAATATTGAGGTTTGTACTGTCCAACGGTTCAAGGGTGATGCTTACAGGCTGATGTCCTATCGCTATCCTAGTATCTCGGTGAGACTAACTGGCAGAAAGGGTCGTGTTGCTTCAATGTGGCGTGGTTACATGTGTTTGCCTCATAGGTGATCGTGGTGTCACGTGCAAGGGTGTGCGCGCACCGTCTTTACTAGAGAACCAGCTACAGAGGGATAACACCATTTTATGTCCTTGGGAGGTCGTAAAGATACCAACAGACGTGACTTCGCCCTTTCCTTCTTCTTTCTCCACCCGGAGCTAACGCACGTTTCCATCCATTCGTACACGCAGGAAACGTGCGGAACACAAAATCAGGCGCAACAAAATTGCCCTATCGACCTGTCTCTCTTCGCAACTTAGGAGGAAGATCGATCGATTCATTTAGTAGCCAGACCAGAAACACGATAAAAAAGAGGAGGAAAATAAACGGTGTATGTTAAGTTTGGGATAATACAGAATCTAGTCTCGAATGGAATTAAAAAATATTTAGATAATCTGATTGATTAAAGTTACTTAAATCGTGAAACGTTGAATTCAGTTCTGTGGCGCCTCTCTCTTTCTCTTTCTCCAAAAGCTGGTGTGGACGACGGTGCTTTATCGGCTAGGGAATACCAGCGCATCGTGACTGTCTAGAGATTAAAGCTATTGTTTTCGCGCTTACTCGAATCGAATGACCTAAGGGAGGACGAGAAATACGAACTCGTTTCGAAGCAGCTTCTCTGTTCATTTCTTGCCATGTACCGACTATACCTATACGTGCTTTGCTAATTTCCGGTAATAGATCTTCGCCTCTTATATCAACAAGCTCCTCTTGTTAGTGGCCCTCTCGGTGGTGATAGGATTTTATCGATGTTCAAACAGTTCCCCGTTTCATCTTGTTATTGTTCGGAAGGTCCGTTTTATTTTTGCTTCAGCGGTCGGTCAAGTGATCGATACTCTTCAAACTGATAACATTTGCTACATAGACTTTCTAGTTATTACGAGTTTCATCGTGGGCCCGCGTGTAAACCGTGTAAATCGAATAAAACGATCCACTTCTCCGTTGAAAGCTACTTGCTCGTGAAACGGAAAAACAGACTACACGCGTGCATACTGTTTTCCAATGGCGCGCTCATGTAGGTAGATTGCGCATTTTTTAACGTTGTAGCCAGATACGAACGGCGGAACAATTTCCAGGGAACCGTCGCGTTATCACACTGCGGATGTTGAAGACACTAATTCCTGAATTGACAAGAACCAAAATGACTTATTCTCTATAATCTGCCAGAGATCCCTGAGCACTCGCGAAAGTTTCACCGGCTAAATGAACCCCTAAATCACTCAGACACGATTTATTATCGTTATTACGCGTCGTCGCGAGGTGGGAGGCTGCCAGAACCAGAGAAGCGAACAAAAATCGAAAAATGGATAGACAGAGCGGGAATAGAAGGGAGGAACAGGATTGGCGTTAGTGTTTACCGTCCGTTCCCGCGGGAATCAACCGTTGTGTTGGTAGCACTGAATGACACTATCTAACTTCACCCTGTTCGCTGATTCGCAGCGGCAATGTTTCAAACTCTCTTCCTCTCTTTAGTTTTTGTTGGCCCATTCTACTACGTTGCCCACTACCGTTTGATACGTTCCTGCTTCACTCGCGGTGACGCAATCTCAAAAAAATCCGCCGGTTATAAATGGCGTTAGAGATGAAAATGAAATTTTTCGTTGCTGCACGGTTCGCATTACACGCAATGCCGATGGTCGCATTACAGGTGAAAGCTTTGGTAGTTTTCGCGGCAGAAAGCTTTCGTCCCTCTGATAAATCCTTTAACGAGTCAGCATAATACGTATTTAATGACCTCCGCTCTCTGTTTCTATTCGGAATCACAGTTTTCCGATTTCCACGAAAAGGATGGGCCAATTTTCGAGCTATGGATCCCTGATATTTTCTATAGTAGTTATTCGCGCGCTGTGGTGGTGCGTGTTTGTGTGTCGAGAGGCGCTGACGTGGATTATAAGAAAGCGTGCGAGGGAGAAAATCTGTGTACGTATATATAATCGAACGAATGGCAGAAGGAGGAAGGATAAAGAAGGACAAAGAGATACAGGACGAAGGGAGGGAGGAAAAGAGAAGAATTCCAGCAGGAACACTGAACAAGAGGGACCCTTTCCAGGGCGATGCCTAGCTCCTAATTGCATGCCAGAGAGTGACTGCATCTCCACCCTTTTCCCTACTATTTTCACCCTCTCTATTGCACTCTCATTCTTCCTCTCTCGCGCGGTGAGTATTTGCAAGCTACCCCAACCCCCAACAGCACGCCACTCCGGAAACGTGGCATAAGAAACGTTATTGCGCCACTCCGTGAAATTTCCTGGTACGACCCTGTCTCTATCCCCTTTCTCCATTTCGTTACCCCCTCCCCCCTTTACCCTCGGCGATGTGCATTCGGAAAAGGCGGCGAGCAAGTATATTACGTTCTGGGTTGACGTTCTTCCGGTATCCTTCCAACCGGGATGCTAATATCGCTGAACAAGAGTAAAGAAAGAAACACAACGCTGAGAACAAGAACGAAAGCAGTCGAGGGAAATCGTTTCATGGTCGTTTAAAAAATTTATCTTTCATACTTGAGCTGCAATTGGTAAGCGTACGCTATATTTCAGTCCTTATGAAAACATTTCTTGAGAAAATATCAATCGTCCTTTATATTTTTCACCAACTTTTCGTTGCCGGAATACTTTTATCAGAGATTGCAAGTAATTAACCTGTCAAATTTTTGAGTGAATAGTTAGTATACATGGAACGACGATAAATTAAAGCAAGAGAATGGACGTTGTGAGATTGCATAAGAGAAGGTGAATAGTAGGATTTAGACATCAATGCTACCAAGTATTGAACGTCCACTGAAGGGGATTGATTTATTGCCATAGCTTTAGTCAAAAACAATCGAATTTGTCGAGTTCTCTGTACCATGCCGCTAGTAATATTCCATTTAAGAGGATTAGTTCGCTCCGTAATTTTCAATTTACCGCATCGCCGTTACTACTGTCCGTTTTAATTAAATTAAACCCAACTTCTACCTAGTCTCTCCTATTTCGAGTTGTCCCCGTCTCTGCGTGATCTGTATCATCAGCTTAACAAACCAAAATTTTCAATACTGTCCTCGTGTTTCCCTTCGATAAATACAGTGACAAACGAATTCATATAAATTCGTATTCCCAATATCTCTTGCGATATCTCTGTACATTAAAGGATAGCGACTGCGATTTCTAGTCGAGGGATAGTGTCCTGTACCTGTTGATCCCTTCCTGGGGTCCTCGATCCTCCGATTCTGTTCGTCTTCTGTACGTAGATAGAAGGGGGTAAGTAACTGCTAGTAGGGAACGGGGGTGGAATTATGCTAGCTTCTCGAAAAGCAATAAAATAAATCATGCCATGTGAGAACACGCGTTGCGACTCTGTATCTATCTACCTTTCTCTATCCTTCATACTGTTCTACCTTCGATACGTAGCAGAAAGCTACCGAGACGACTTCTCCCACGGGAAATCAGAGAAAGATGCACTACGACGTGAAGGACTCTTTTCTCATCCCTCGAACCACTCTTTCTTCTTCATCGTTCTATGCCCTGCCTCGTTCTCTTCTTCTTCTATTCATAGAATGACGCCACACATTTTCGCTTTCCGTGTGCGCACGTGTTCTTTCCACTTTCTTGTTTTCCGGCAGGCGAACGTACAAATCGATCGGTCGTGAACAGGGATAAGATAGAAAAAGGAAAAGGAACTGGCAGAAAGGAAAGGTAAAAAGAACGGAGGTACTAACCGGGAATGCGAGTGTATTGTGCTTCGCTTTGAAAGCGTCAAAAGGTGTTGCTCAAAGATACAATCTATCATTGAGAAAACTCAAAAATCGATCATTATTCGATTTCCTTGTAAATTTATAAACAAGAATTATGATATTTACAGGATGAAAAACTTCAAAGTTGGAAGCTAAAAGATTAGATTAGAAATTAATCTCTATTTCGCCTGTAACTTACTTTTATCAAAAGTGATCTGAATTATTGCACAAACATTTGTAGTCTGTAGATAACATTTGTACCATCCCAAGATATGAGGTTATGTTTTTCTTTTTTCTCAGAATTTTCATCATCTCTACAATTATCAGTTCAATATCCACAGTTCTACTCTTCCTTTTTACGTCGTTTGCTAAAAACGAAAAACCCAATCTTAAAGAATTACGTCAATAGCGTTACTATATTTTGTTTACTATATTTTATTTTGTTCCTATTTTGTTACGAAGAATCACTCTTTTTTTAGTCGTATCACCGTGGATCAGCCTATATGATACGTTATAACAAAGTATTATTTATTTTCGAAAGTGCACGCCAATTTGTCGCGTCTTTCTATATACATATATTACGTAGCAGATGATACGATATATGTACTGTGTACATATAAAATATAGAATATGTACGCCAACACACATACGTATATTTGACGCAGTTATGTATACATAGCCACGGTGAACACGGGAAACCACTCAGAAAACTCGCTCGAGTCCCTTCGTTTTGAGACACGGAATATAGACTCGTATACACACTCCCATAAATGCTATACGTCTAACTTTTTATTTTATTTTATTCATTCGTCTTTCACGCTTGCATCATGCTCAAAGCTTACATAACTTCCGTATCAATTCCGTAATGTTAAATTCCCCTCTGTTAATATGGCGTATATATATATATAGAATGCCAAATCAGAATTTATTATCAAGTAACAAAGGTCGCTGTCATGATAACTTTATTTTTGCCGATTAAAAGGAGCAGCAGCGTAGTGATAAATATATTACACCTATAATTATCTCTTCTTTATTCTAACAAACGTCTTTACTTAACAATTCTTAGCCAACGTAACAGAAATAAACGTTGATCTTCGCAGTATTATACATCTGAACATAAATATATGAAAATTTATAAAAACTTTTCAATAACTTTAAAGCTTAGAGATATATACCCAAGCACCGCCATGTGGGTGCGTTAGGAAATAATGCGGCGACATTTTCAATGGAAGTTGCATTTTTGGTGACAATTCCAATTTGTAGTTTCTCAGCAAAGTAGCGAAACAAGCCTTCACCTGTAGCAAACCCATTCTCATTCCAACGCAAATTCTTGGTCCCTCACCGAAAGGAAGATATACCATTTTTTCTATAGTTTGCTTTCTCTCATCGCTGAATCGTTCCGGATCGAAAACTTCTGGATCAACCCAATAATTGGGATCGTTGTGCAAACCGTGAACGGATAGGAATATGTCAGTGCCAGGCTTCGCGCGATACGTCAATCCATCGGATCCTTGAAGCTCGAACTCTTCCGTGCATACTTTATGCATGAAACCTAGTGCTGCGTGACATCTTTGAGATTCACTAATTACTTGATTCATGTACGTCATCTCCTTCAACGCCTCGTACGTCAAACCGCCGTGCTTCTCGATCGTAGATATCAC